CCCCCCTCACAGTGATAAAGAGGAGGGGGGGGGGGGGGAGAGGCTGCCCCATGGGTAGGGCACCCCCCCCAACGTGGGCAACCCCCCCAAAAAAGTGACACCCCCAATGAAACAAACACTGCATGGCAAGGGGGGCTGCAAACATGAGAGGGGGACCCCTAAACATGCTCAGGCTGAAGGCTAGTGCCCAGGGCCCTCTTAGCATGTTCCCACCAACCAGCATCATGAGATGGGGAAACTGAGGCACCGAATGGGTAGGGCACCCCCCCCAACGTGGGCAACCCCCCCAAAAAAGTGACACCCCCAATGAAACAAACACTGCATGGCAAGGGGGGCTGCAAACATGAGAGGGGGACCCCTAAACATGCTCAGGCTGAAGGCTAGTGCCCAGGGCCCTCTTAGCATGTTCCCACCAACCAGCATCATGAGATGGGGAAACTGAGGCACCGAATGTCAAAATGACATATCCAACCTCCGCATGTGGGAGGATCTATTTGCTAGGCCCTTTTGGGTGTGTCTAGAATACAAGGGTTTTTTGTTTGTTTGTTGGTTTTTTTTTTTTTTAAAGTGGCCTTTTTTCGGAAAAAACTTCCCCTGCGTCTAGACTGTTGCTGCGTTCTTTCGAAAGTAAATCAAAAGAATGCAGCAGTTTTTTCGACTGCGGAAAACCTCGTTTTACGAGGAATATCGCCTTTTTTCAAAAGTGCTCTTTTGAAAACAGGTGCTATATAATGCAAACTGTGCTTTCTTGAAAGAGAGCATCCAGACTGCCTGGGTGCTCTCTTTTGAAAAAGCGGCTTGCTTTATCGAAAGTACTGGTTGTAATCTAGATGCTCTTTTTCAAAAGAGGCTTGCAGTCTAGACGTAGCCAAAGATGCTTATTTCAGCCATATTGTGGGGGGGTCTCCTTTGAGGGCTTGAGGGTACCTGCTGGGTTGGAAATCATAATGGCAATTTAGGGATATATCAGAGGTCACAACAACAAAATGACCCTTCACATCCCATGAATGGCCTCTTCTTAAATTAGGGTCTCCCCCCAAATTAGGTAGATTAATTCCCCAAATGCACATGAAGTGAATGAGGCAGGCAGAGAGGTTTGGGTGCTTACGGGGGCAATGGATCTGTGGGGCAAGGAGCTGCCATGCCACTGGGACCTGTGGCCCAGGGATATCCCGGAGTGAGGGGTTTCCCCAAACTAAAGGGGATTAATTCCCCCCCACAAAATTGAAATCAGTGTGCTCTACTTTGGCCCATAGGGTGTACAACATGGGTTTGCTGTCGTATCATGACCTTTAACCCTGCAGGCAGTCCCTCCCAGCCATGAAAGTCCCCCCATAGAATAAAACCTGATTAATTCTCCTACATATCTGAATAAACTTTCCATGTGGGCCAAGAATAGCAAGGCTGGGGGTGCTGTTGTGACACAAGGCTTTCCCCTGGAAAATTAATTCTCCCCACCCCACCCACCAAAATAGTGGTATGATCTAGTATGATCTAGTCCAATCATGCCCTCTGTCCCCCGCAAATAACCCCTGAAAATGGATAACTTTGTGCCCCAGGAGGTCACGCCTGTTTCTACACCTCCCAGGGGCACACCTCAATGGAAAGCGACTGTAAAGTGGTGACTGAAAACCTCAATGGAAAGCGACTGTAAAGTGGGGTGTCTTTCTCAGGGCTGTGGGACCTAGCTCGTCCACATGGAGGGGATTGCTCTGTGTTCTCAGCCTAGCCCTGGAAGAACAGACAGCATGTGATGCCAAGGCATGTCATGGGCATGGGAGATATGTAACCATCCAAGACCTTTGTACTTGCACAAACAAGATAGGCGTGAACCACTGCTGTCTCTTCACAGATACATTTCACACCTGTAGAGACTCTTCCACTGGCTCGGTGGACATGGGGAAGTCAGTGGATGTTATATACCTTGACTTTAGCAAGGCTTTTGATACGGTCTCCCACAATATTCTTGCCAGCAAGTTAAGGGATTGTGGATTGGATAAATGGACGGTAAGATGGATAGAAAGATGGCTAGAAGGCCGGGCCCAGCGGGTAGTGATCAATGGCTCAATGTCAGGATGGCGGTCGGTTTCTAGCGGAGTGCCCCAAGGTTCGGTTCTAGGACCGGTATTGTTCAATATCTTTATTAATGATCTGGATGAGGGGATGGATTGCACCCTCAGCAAGTTTGCGGATGACACTAAGCTGGGGGGAGAGGTAGATACGCTTAAGGGCAGAGATAGGGTCCAGAGTGACTTAGACAAATTGGAGGATTGGGCCACAAGAAATCTGATGAGGTTCAACAAGGACAAGTGTAGAGTCCTGCACTTGGGACGGAAGAATCCCAAGCATAGTTACAAGCTGGGGACCAACCGGTTAAGTAGTAGTTCTGCAGAAAAGGACCTGGGGGTTACAGTGGATGAGAAGCTAGATATGAGTCAACAGTGTGCCCTTGTAGCCAAGAAGGTTAATGGCATATTAGGTTGCATTAAGAGGAGCATTGCCAGCAGACCCAGAGATGTCATCATTCCCCTTTATTCGGCTTTGGTGAGGCCGCATCTGGAGTATTGTGTCCAGTTCTGGGCCCCCCACTACAAAAAGGATGTGGACGCATTGGAGAGGGTCCAGCGGAGGGCAACCAAAATGATGAGGGGGCTGGAGCATATGACTTATGAGGAGAGGCTGAGGGACTTGGGTCTGTTTAGTCTGCAGAAGCGAAGAGTGAGGGGGGATTTGATAGCAGCCTTCAACTTCCTGAAGGGAGGTTCCAAAGAGGATGAAGAGAGGCTGTTCTCAGTAGTGACAGATGGCAGAACAAGGAGCAATGGTCTCAAGTTGTGGTGGGAGAGGTCCAGGCTGGATATTAGGAAAAACTATTTCATTAGGAGGGTGGTGAAGCACTGGAATGGGTTACCTAGGGAAGTAGTGGAGTCTCCATCCCTAGAGGTATTTAAGTCTCGGCTTGACAAAGCCCTGGCCGGGTTGATTTAGTTGGGATTGGTCCTGCTTAGAGCAGGGGGCTGGACTTGATGACCTTCTGAGGTCTCTTCCAGTTCTATGATTCTATGATTCTAAGTGTGTGTGAGGATTTCAAACAGGTGACAGAGGAACAGCCCCAAATAGTTTTTGAGGGATGAGCAACTCGGTCCTCTGGTTTGAGAACTGCATCCAGCAACCATAGAGTGGGGTCACTACTCTGATCTAAAGCAAATTGTGAGATGGATAATAATCATTGCAGTACGCAGTGGTTTAGCACAGGAAGGGGAGAGTAACAAACCCACTTCTGATGCTTTAGCAATGACGACAGAACTTATAATAGGATGAATGGAACTGGTTCCAAATTGCACCAGCAGCCTAGAGTTACTCTTGCAAAAAGTGCCACAAGCATCAGTTTTATGCATCATTTTGCTCCCTCCATCCTCACACACTCTTTTTGTAGCCTGTGGATCTGAGCAGCAAGTGGCAGGCAGAAGTGTCAGCATAATGAACCAAACCACAAGTGCACACATAATGAAACCAAAACTCCAGAAATACAGCTTTGCCTACAGAGCTACAACATGATAGGAGCACCAGGTGCCTGAGTTTGTTCTCTCTCACAAGCATTCCCTCTCTGACATGTACACGCACAATCTGATCTCATGCACAAACGTCACATTACAGTAGTGCTGTCACTGACAATAAGAAAAACATTAATATAGCCCCAAACAGAGCTAGAGCCAATAGGATATTGTGAGGATTAATTAAAGCAGCCCAGGATTTTATATAGTTTGCTGTACAAAACAGGATTCCAGCCTTCTGAAGAAATAAAACTACAATTATTGCATGAACTTTGAAGACAATACACAGGGATAATACGAATCTGATGTGTGACTAAGACCCAAAGAATGGCCCAACTGGGTCAAACCAAAGGTCCATCTAGCCCAGTATCCTGTCTTCTGATGGTGGCCAGTGCCAGGTGCCCCAGAGGGAATGAATAGAACAGTCAATCCCTGTCACCCATTCCCAGCTTCTGGCAAATAGAAACTGGGAATGGGTGAATTACTTAATTTCAATCAAATAGTTGAGGTTGATTTGCTGTAAAGAGGCTGGAAATTAGTCACAGTCTGGATATTTGTCTGGCCAATCTTGGTGGAAAACTATGAAGATGTGGACAAGGTGAAAGAGAAAGAGAGAAGGGACGGACAAACCCCGTCAATCGTTAACAGCTATGATTTAAAAGTCTGAGGCGTAGCCATGTTAGTCCGTAACTTAGAAAAAAAAAAGAGTAGTCCTGTAGCACCTTAGGGCATGTCTACACTAGGAAATTATTTTAAAATAACTTACTTCGAAATAATAACTCCCAAAACAACTATTTTGAAATAGTGTGTCCATACTACAGGGAAGCCTCGAAATTAGTCTGAGGCAGGCTCCCTTAATGTAGACGTGCTACTTTGACTTAGAGCCCCAGGAAACACTGGAGAATGATTACTTTGAAAGAGTACTTCTGATAATCTAAACAGAACTTGGGCTGAGACTGGAATTCCTGAAAGCAAATATCTCATTGGCAAGGATTGGCAAGTGGTGCCTCCTGAAAAAGGAAAAAATAGCACTAGGGAACAGCGAGTGTGAAGCCTATTTAACGGCACCCAATTCAGAAGCAAGAAAGGTCCTGGTATTTCTCTCCTGGATGGTGTGACCTCTTGCACCTTCGAGTGGTACAATTTTCCTGGTCAAAAATGTAGTATACATGGGGACGAGCACTTTCGGTACGAGGGTCACAAACTAGTTAAATATTATGTTATTAATTGCACACTTAAGTATAGCCTGCCAAATCATACTATGTGCCTATGTGTGGAGAAATCCCTGTGATATTATACTTTGTATTAAGAGCTTGTCCTTTTAGATATATCTTTGTGTTCTTATAGAATCTCTGTAACATTTCTCCTATAACTTGGTATTAAGATATATAGATCTTGTAAGAAAAAATGTCTTTTGAGCTCTCCCCTTTCCTCCATTGTCCTGTTGAAATAATGAGGTGTGAATGGAGAATGAAAGGGGAGCACCTCCAGCAGCAGTTGCAAGGGTGGAGAAGGTCTGGGAGCCAGATCTAAGACAATACCTTCAAAGTGAGCTCATGAAGAAGACTAGACATACAGAGGCCTTGGGAGTGAAGCAGCAAGTGCCTGCCCTTGGAAGAACTCTCTTTGAAGCAGCATTAAGAAAGCCGAGGTGATGACTAATTGGCTGCATTAGAGGGATAAATAGGAGGCATCTTGCAGAGGGACCCCGGGTTTTTCATCTTTTCAACATGGGAGCATCGAGCCGGATCTGCAGAAGCCCAGCTCCACCCCTTCCCCATCTAACTCACCTGGCCAGTGCAGTTAGGGGGAGCAACTTTTGGTAACAAGAAGACGGTGTGTGCTTGTGTGTGAGAGAGAGTGCATGAGTGTAATGTATCATATGCATATGATAAGTATTGTTTGATCTATGTATGTTCAATAAATGTGGCGTGTTGCCTTATCCCCCTGAAAAAGATCCCGGGTGCTTCTTTTAAGCACAACATGGGGGGAGGGGAAGAAGCAGAGTGCTCATGTATGGGGTGGAAGGAAAGAAGTGGGCTGCTACTGTCCCATGGTCATCTTGCAGTGACTATGGCAGAGAGTTGGCACTGTCATATGCTACCTCCTTATCCCTATGTGCCGGGCTTGCCTGGGGGAAAGGCAGCTGTTGGCCCAAGACCCTCAAATCCATGTTGCCCTCTGGCCTCTTACCCATGGTGGTGAATCGGGAGGGAAACAAAATGGTGGCAAAGAGTGACTGGAGGCCACTTCCCAAACCTCCTATAATCCAAGACATCACAAGGTTCCCTCTTTTCTATGAGCTCGAGGTGATCCCCAAGCCTTTCTTACCCATCACTCCAGCACCAGTCCTGGGGCACACGGACAGGATCGCTTAGATTTCCCATGTCTCCCCCAAGCCATCAGGCTCAATAGGCTTTAGGTTCAGACATACATTTGCTTGAATTGCATGTAATCATCAGTAGGTCAGGGAAACGTCCAGTGTGAAGAGAGCATCCTGGAGTGGGGACACCCGAGCCTCTGCCTTAGGTGGTCACAAGTTTGGGGGTCAAACTCCCAGGAATCCTGGGTCCAGCCTTGTTGAGGTTACGAGAACTGTGCCACACAGGGAAGCGGAAGGGGTAGCCCTCAAGGTCAGGGAGGTCTCTGGGTAAAGGAAGTGGAAGCAGAGACTCAGCTCCTGTTGCTGGCTCATGCCACTGGGGCAGTGTAGAAGACAGGAAAATATCACTCAATAGCGGGACCATTCTTTCACTTACATGTAAACGTCCCCTTACAAGGATGTTCAGTGATGGGTGACAACTACAAGGGAGCTGAGAAACCTCTCCCATGAAGAACATCAGGAAACAACAAGGAGAGGAACATGAGGGCCTCTGTTAGAGGATACAGACAGCAACAAGGTAGGATCAGTAACTTTGATCCCCAGTAGACCTAGGAGTACCTTTCAAACCTGCCAGGGTGCTGATGTGGAAGACGGGTGTCCCTGATTAAGCCAGGTTTGCACAGAAGCTGTACATTGGTTAGCTCTTTGGGATACCTTCGTTCTGCATAAATGATGCTTTGCTTTATGAAGTTGGTGGCTCAGAGGCATCTCAGAGAGAACAGGGCTGTGGGTGCTACTGAGAATCACAGGAGAGTATTCCCCACAAATGGGGATAACTGGAAGCCTGAAATCGGAGCGAGATGCCACAAGGGTTAGAGGTGCAGTCACCTTAGGCACTGTGCCACCCTGTCTAATGATCCTGACCCACAGGGACCTTCAGCTAAATTGAACAGAGTGAACTGAAAACTGAGCAGAGAAAATCTACCATTAACCCGTGGAACTCATTGCCAATGGGCTCATTCTTGAGGCTAAGTGTTGAGCAGACTGTCCAACATGAATGCTTCGGGAAGCCACCTTGTTTATCTGCCATGTCTGTACAGTGCCGGGGGCACTGGGGGTCTGGATGGATCTAGTGGGGTAATTCGTACAGCCCTCTATAAAAGCAGCTGAGTTTAGAATGTAATTTCTCCATTATACCTCCCACTGGAGGGATAACCTTTATTGCAAGAAAGACCAAGGAGTAGGACTGATTACACAGCTCCTCCAACGTGGCTCAGACCTCTCCATCGCCTGCCCACTCTCTCTATTTGCTACAGCTTTCTGAAGAAGAAGAAAAATTGGGGCCTCCTTACTACAGCTTTGTGCTGGGCCAGGGTAATGGGGGGAGCTTTCTTCAGAGGGTGGGGGGCTTCCATCAGCCCATCCCGGATGGCTAGCAGCCTGTGTCTCCTGTCACTAAGGGATGAGCCATCCGACCAGCTGGAATCAGAGGCCTTCTCGGGCCTAGCTCTGCGTGGTAAGTTGATGATAAGGAAGGCGAGCCTGGGGCGTGGGATCGGCAGGACACGTCTCTCTACGACAGGCTCTGCTTCTGCCCCGCCACCTGCTCCTTCCTCACTAGACTCTGCTTGGCTTCCCTGCAGGAGACACAGGTTAATGGAGAATGTATGATACTGTACCTGGGAGTGTACTGGGGAGGAGATGCTCATAGGAGAAGGGTGTGAGGTTTAGAGCAGCAGGGACTGGGAACCAGGACTCCTGGGTTCTCTCCCCAGCTCTGGGAGGGGAGTGTGGTCTAGTGAGTTAGAACAGGGGGCTGGGAGCCTGCTCTCTTGAGTTTTGTTGCTATTTGTGTCCCTATCTCCCTGGTGCCCTTTGGGCATGGACAGTCCCTGCCTTGCTCTGGGCCTCAGTTTCCCCTTCGCTACAAGGGACTCAGCCTGTTACTAATGGAAGAGTGATGACAGCAATGGTGAGCAGGGGCCCTAGAGCTACTGCAGGGAGGGTAATATTCAGGAACGTTGCCTTGGGTCCCAGTGTGTGCCTCCTTTTGTCTGTTACACTGTCCCTCAGACTGGAACCTGGTTCTGGCAGGTGGGGCAGGGGGAGACCAAAAAGTGAAGCGGGGGTGAGAAAGCATGTTTCGCCCACTGACTCTTCTTTCCACACCTGGCTGCAGCCCCGACCCTCGTGTTTCCCAGGAGATACGAGTGCCAGGCGCTCATGCACGGAGCCTAGCAACAGTGTCACCGGCTTGCAGATACACTGACTAGCTTCTGGTTCCTGGATGTTAAAGGAGCCAGGTGGGGAGGGAGAGAGGTCCACATGGGGATGTGTGTATGTGGGGTTGTCTATAGTAACTGATGGAGATGGAGAGAATCCAGGAGTCCTGGCTCCCAGGTACCCTCCTGCTCTAGCCACTAGACCCCCTCCCCTCCCAACAGCCAGGGAAGAATCCAGGAATCCTGGCTGCCAGCCCCCACCCTCTCATCCCCAACCTCCACTCCCTTCCCAGAATCAGGCCGGAGCAGCCCCCCCCCCCCTTTAATCAGTTAACCGGTTAAACAATACATTTAATCAGTTGACCAATTAGGCAGGATTTCACATCCCCAGTCCCTAGAGGTTAAGTCCTGCTGCAGGAGAGCTGTCTGTGTCCTCATTGGGGTCACTTGGGGAGCACAACACCCTTCATAGCTACTCTGGCTTAGCATGCAAATGCTGGTGCTGGACTCAGCCCCTCTGCGCTCACCCTCCATCTCTTTGCCAGGTCCCGCTCGATGGAGGTCACCATCCTGTCAGAGAACAGCATCGCACCCGTCTGGTTGTCTGTCACCTGCACCGGAACAGGAGCGGCTCAGCCCAAGCAGGAGGCTCGGGTAGGTCCCTGAGTCTGAGCAAGAAATAGCCACAGTGCATCCCCTATGGGCCCAGAGGGGGGGCAGGGAATAGCCACAGCACGGGGTACCCCAGCCATGCTCCCAGTGGGTGCTGGGACGGACATTATTCCACCCACCCACCCAGCATCCAGGGAGCGGGGGCCAGGGGCAAGGTTCCCTCTAATCTTTTGTCATTCATGTGTGGATTTTTTCCATCCATGTGCAGGATACACGTGTAGTAGAAACACAAACAGAGCTGTGGGTGCTCTGCTCAGCTGGGCAGCATTGGAATCTCTCCTGGGCAACCGCACAAGCACCCAGCCTACAGGGCATACTGGAGGGTGGTGAAGGGGCACACGGAGATTTCCGGTCCCAGGGACAGGTGCACCGATCCCTTGTGATTTGGATGTTGCTGGGGGAGCGGGGGAGATGGCATCACTACCTCCCAGTTCCTGCTCACCTTGTTAATCTCGCGGTGGCTGTACACTGTGGCATTCCCCACCCTGCGCTGCGCCTTCTCCTCAGTGTGGTAGTTGGGGGGAAGCTTGCTGAAATCAACGGGGGCCTCAAAGCGTCCCTCTCCCAACTGTGCCTGCAACAACCCATCTCCAGTGAGTCCTGGGAGTTACAGTCCTCCATGGCCCTCCCAGAGCTAGGCAGAGAACCCAGGAGTCCTGGCTTCCAGTCCCAGGCCACACACACTATACCTCCTGCGCTCCCCGCAGCAGAAATTATGGGTGGGGCAATAGCTAGCCATGGGCTGGACAGAGATACAAGGCATGTGCATGGGGACAGAGACTCAAAGGTAAGAGGGATGGGGACAGATGGAGCTACAGGGGCAGGTAGGTGAGTGTTGGGAGCTGGAGAGATGGGAGGTGCCTGGGGAGGGGCAGAGGGGATGGCTGAGGGTGTCTAGGCAGGGAAGAGGGGGGGCCTAGAGCTATTTGAGGATGGGGGACTAGGGGCAGGCTAGAGGGGCAGGTGAGAGTGACTGAAGGGAGGAATGGGAGAGGGTCTCTGGTGGTGCCAGGGGAGGGGGGATCCTTTGGGTGTGGTTCGGGGTTCCTGGGGACAGGGAGGTGCGGGGGTACATGGGGATGCCTGGGGACAGGGATGTGGGGGGGTCCATGGGGATGTCAGGGGACAGAGGTGTGGGGGGCCCCTGGGGCACTCTCACCCGGCTACGCCCCAGCAGGCGTTGGAAGTGGCCCAGCAGGCGGGGGGCAGCAGGTGAGGGGAGGGAGCCCTTGGCCCCAGCCAGCAGCGTGACCAGGGCGCAGAGCAGCAGCCAGCATGCTCGCATCACGTCAGAGTGGATCTGTGGGGGCACAGAGCAGGTGAGCTGGGGTGGGTGCTTCGGCCTGGGCACAGCCCCTTTCAACCACACCCTTCCCTCTCCCCCACACCCTTCCCTTTCTCCCTGCTCCATTCCTCCCCCACATCCCCCTCCATCTACCCACCCCAGTTCCTTCTATCCTCCCCTCCACCCCATCAATCTGCTCTCCCTCCCTCCTATACACCTTTCTCCATTTAGGGATCCCTCTCCCCTTTTCTTCCCCATGCAGCTACCCCCCCACCTTTGACCAGCCCTCTCCCCATAATTACTCTGTCCTGTTTCCCCTTCTGACCAACGCTGCCCCCATTTCTGCACACCCATGAGATCCTGCCCCATTGTACTGTGACCCCGGCCACTTCCTGACCAACCTTCCCTCCCCCCTGGAACTGGCACCTCCTTCTCTCCTCCCAGAGCTCCCACTGCCCCAGTTTCCCTTCCCTGTCCCCCACTAGCCACCTCCCAGGGATCCGTACTGGCCCGTTTCACTCAGGGCGCTGATTCGAACGGGATTCTGATTCCAGAACCAGCCAGAAGGAGGCTCAGGGCACCAGCGCTGGCATGGTGGGGCTCTGCTTCAGGGAGTGTCCTGCCACTCTGGGGGACTCCCCCTGCCACGTCAGCAGCAGGGCAGGGCAGAGGCTTGGGCAGTGGGGCAAAACCATGCCGTTTCTGTGATCATAGAGCAATGCGCAGCTTTGCTGCAGGGTTCCTCGGTGCCTCAGTTTCCCCATGGAGCAGGGAGGACCACCCTGGCCTTCCCTATGGAGTGGGGCTAAGGAGAAAGTTGTTTATATTTCATGCAGTTGATAGATGCACTCCAGGCTTATGAACAGGGCCCTGCCCATCTCACAACTGTGAAAAATGTGTCCCCGATGTGAAATAAGACCTTTCCCGTGAGGTCTGATCTGCTCGTACTGCCCAGCCAGGGGCTCTGGCTGCTAGGCCAGGCTGGGCTGGGGCGGGACAGGACTCGCCCTGTGTGGGGAGATCAGACCCACCTCCAGAGGCAGTGCATCTTCACTTCTGTGCCCCGCAGCTCCTGTTGAGGTTTGGGCACCCATTTTTCCAGGGCCATCCCCCCCCTGGGCCAGGATCCCTGGGCACAGCCTTGTGGCCTGTGCGTTAATACACCACTGGCTAGGATTAGCAGCTAGCAGCTTTGGCTGAGGTGCTCCCAGCGGCACCAGGAGATCAGTCTCCATTCATCTTCAGGAGCTTTCAGAGGCCGGCTGCAGGCAGCCCAAAAGTGAGAGTGACAATCCCCCTTCCGCACACACACCCCACCCCTGCACTGTTCCAACAGGAACATTTTAGAGCTGAAGTTGTGAAACTGACCAGTTTTAAAATCCTGTGGCCGTGAAAGTGACCAAAAAGGATGGTGAATTTGGCAGAGCCCTAATCAAGAAGCACTTTTTTTGTGTTCATGTCAGGGCTCACCACTGCAGGTGAGGGGTTACAAAACGTCAGTGCATCCAGTGACTGCAGCATTCCCAAAGCGTCCCACTTTGTTATGTTCCCCTGCAGGCCACCAGCATGACACAGACCTCTCCCGCTTCACTAGGGGCATGGCCTGGGCTGGGCATGTTGCCGCTTCATGCTGGAAAGATTTTCCCCAAGGGTTTGTGTGCTGCAGAACTGACATTTGCCACCCGCAACCAATGGGAATCTAACGCTGGCCAGCCAAAATCCGCAGAGAGGGTGACGCGCCCAGGTACATCGACGGGAGCCAGCGCTGGTCAGGCCAGACTGTGAGCGCTTATATAGGGGGTGGGGTGTTCTCACTTTTGCAATGAACATTTACTGAGGGCTGCCATACCACATAGCCCCACTGGGGGTAGCACTCGCAATAGGGGCCCCATTATTGCTGACCAGGGAAGAAGAGAGAGGGAGGGAGGAAGGGGTGAGTTGGGGACACATCCTCTTGGTTAATTTTCTTCCAGTGTCCCTTGCAAATAACAAAACGGACCAATTTTTCAGGTTTGGACCCCAGTTTTTTATTTTATTTACAAAGTGGATTTAACAAAAGTTGCAAATTCTTGGGGCAGGGAAACGCGGGGGTGGGGTCAGCTCACATAGGAGGAAAACATCCTCCTAGCTTGTCAAATCTGGGACCCCTGCTCAGGAGGGGGATTGCTTCCCCTGCAGTGGCAGGTAGTGGAAAGGACCGATTTGCTCCCTTCTCCCCACTTGGTCTCCACCATCCTCTCCGCAGGGGAAAACAACATAGAAAAAGTCACATATCCCAACTTCCCTCCCATCCCCAGCTACCAGGTCCTCTCCCCACTCCCACCACCCTGCATCTCCCCTCCCTACTGCAGCAAACCCCACCAATATATCCCCAGAGGAAGAAAGAGACAGCACCCCTTTCCCTATGCCACTGCCCCAAGCGTGAGCGCAGCTCAGGTCAGGGACCAGGCAAGGGGGGAGGGGCACATCAAGGTTGGGGGAATAGACTAGGGGCCCTGCCCCATGCCAAGAACACTCAGATCGGGAAAGAAAGCTGCTTCAGCCCAGGCTGGATGGATGGTCCCAGCTGGAGGGCAGTGGCTCATACCCATCCACTCTCCCTCCACCCCCTAGGGCAGGAGGGGCTTCCTAGGAGTATCGGGTCAGCTTGTCGTAGTTCTGGCCCATGTTTCTAAACAGAAACATCGATAACATCATGAGACAGAGCTGGGGGGAGAAAGAGAGAGAGTTAGTGGAGGGATCCCCCCTCTGCCACCAACAATCCCACTGCTCCCACCAACACCCTCTGGAGACCAGGGTACGGCAGAATTAATGGAGGGGCCCCACCTTAACGGAGGGATCTCACTGCTATTGCCAACCACCTCCACAGAGTTGTGGAGGGAGTTGCGAGATCCCATTCCCTGCACAGCCTCCCCACTGCCCTTCTAATGCAACCACACTCCCCTGCAAAAAGACGCAACATCAGTACTCTGATGGGGGCTGGGAAGAAGTTGGGGATAAAGAGGGTCATGGGGTAGAGTCAGCACCTAAGTCATTTGGTGTTCAATCCCCCAGCTGTGATGACTCCCTGAAATCAGCCTGATCTCCCTGCCCCACTCCCTGCAGCACAGCACCCCCTAGTGCCACCCTGGGGTTTTGGGGCTAGGCTTGCCAGCCCCCCACTTGAATAACCACTTCTCCTAACTCCCTCATTCTTTCCACAGATACTTTATTGTTAGGGGAGGGGGGAAGTCTCCCCATCTCCTGTCTATGGGGCCCCCATGTGTCTCAGGCGATGCGCTGCCGACCCCCCCAGCGATAGGCCAGGCCCCTGGGCTGGGAGCTGCTTGGGAGCTGCTGTGTCTCCTGCTCTGGCTCTTGGGGGGTGCCAAACGATTCGTCTCGGAGCAGGGAGAACACCATGGACATGGTGTGGATCTGGGGGGAGGAGACGGGGCTGATGGGGGACTCTAATCTAGCCCCCCGCAGACTCTCCTCCTCCCTGAGTAAGTTACCTTGCCAGTATTCCTTAGATATGGCTCTGGTGTGGCAGGAGGGAAAGGGTTAACGGGGTGAGTGTGGAGCAGAGACATGGCTGAGGGGAAGAGGTGCAGGGAGGGGACAGCTCGGAACACACACACGTGTGTTAGCATCTGGGCACGACATATGGTTGGGGACGCACAGGGGGTAACATGCACTCACCATACACACACCATGACAACATGCACAAGCCCCTTACATGCACCAACACACACATGCACAAACCCCTCATGCACACCACCAAACGTGGAACCACGTGCACAAGCCCCTTACCTATGCACACCAACATACATGCACAAACCCCACCTGCAGGAATGTGTGAGAGAATAGGGCGCATGCTGCTACACACAGGTATGCAGGGTGGGCAGAAATGCAGTCCCCAATACCCCTGCAGCAGCAGCAGCAGCAGCAGGCACACACACGCACACACCCCCACACCCCC